TCTGTGTGTGTGTGATTCTGTGTGTCTCTGTGTGTGCATCTCTGTGTGTGTGATTCTGTGTGTGTGTGATTCTGTGTGTGTCTGTGTGTGTGAGATTCTGTGTGTCTCTGTGTGTGTATCTGTGTGTGTGTGATTCTGTGTGTCTGTGTGTGTGTGTGTGTGATTCTGTGTGTCTCTGTGTATCTCTGTGTGTGTGTGTGATTCTGTGTGTGTCTGTGTGTGTGAGATTGTGTGTGTGTGTGTGATTCTGTGTGTCTCTGTGTGTGTGTGTGTGTGATTCTGTGTCTGTCTGTGTGTCTGTGTGTGATTCTCTGTGTGTCTGTGTGTGTGTGTGTGTGTGTGTGTGTTCCTGTGCCCTCAGTGAGCCCCAGAGAGGTTTCTAACTCTGCTGTTTCCATGCCCTCAGTCGATGCTGCGGGGCCGTGGGGGCTGCTACAAGCACACTTTCTATGGCATCGAGAGCCACCGCTGCATGGAGGCCACCCCCAGCCTGGCCTGTGCCAACAAGTGTGTCTTTTGCTGGAGGTAAGGCACCCATGGGCTTTGGGCAGGGTGGGGTCTCTGGGGACACAGCCAGCTGTCCTGAGCCAGCTGTGCTCTGGGGAGTGTGGGCTGGCTGTGTTGGGTGAACCCCCCGAAGTGCTGAGCAATGGCAGTGCCTTTGGAAATTGGGCCATTTTCTGTATTTGAAGTACCTTCACCCCTACCAATTCCAGTGCTCTAAGCAAGTGAAAAGTGATCACTCAGTAACTGTTGCCTTCCTAAAACAGCAGCTGATAAATCCCAGATTCACTGAGGCAGGAAGAGCCATCCAGGATCGTCCAGTCCAAGCTCTGCCTGATGCCCACCTTGTCCCCAGCCCAGAGCACTGAGTGCCACATCCAGCCCTTAACTGGGCACCTCCGGGGATGAGCACTCCAAACCTCTCCAGGCACCCCCTGCCAATCCTCAATAATGCTTCCCATGGGGAAATTCCTGTTGGTGTCCACCCTGAGCCTCCCCTGGCCCAGCCTGAGGCCGTTCCCTCTCCTCCTATCCCTGTTCCCTGGAGCACAGCCCGACCCCCCCGGCTGTCCCCTCCTGTCAGGGAGTTGTGCAGAGCCACAAGGGCCCCCCTGAGCCTCCTTTTCTCCAGGCTGGACAACCTGTCCTCAACTCGGTGACTTCCACTGGTCGGGACAGTATCCCCTTTCCTCAGAGGACTGACTTTGTGGTGAATTCCTGAAGGAAAGGAGCTGTGCTGGATCCGAGCTGCTCTAGCACTACTCACTCCCTCCTGCCTGGGCTTCCAAGGGAGGTGTGTGCCAGGCTGGGGGAGTGCAGGGTGGGATTGGGAAGAGAAAATGCCAGCAGTGACGTGAGAGCACCCGGAGTGGGAGGACAGGGAGGTTGTGCTTTGAGCTCTTTTGTTTTCCACCCTCCTAAATCATCCCATGGAAGCTGTACTTCCTCTGGGACTTACTCCAGGCTTCCAAAAACACCCATTCCATCCCCCAGCCTGGGGATGGTGGTCCAGCATCCCAGTGAGTATTCCCTGAGCAGCCTGAGCCAGTGGAAGGTGTCCCTGCCATGGCAGGAGGTGGAATGACACGGGCTTGAAGGTCCCTTCCCACTCAAACCATTCTGGGATTCTGTCATAGTATTTCCATGCAAAACCAGCCAAATTCCTCGGAGTTCCCATTTCTGTCTTTCATAGTCCTCAGGTTTTAATAATGCAGGTATTTCATGGGAGCATTTAAGGGACTGCCCTAACATAGAGGCTGCTTGAAAGCTGTCCTCCATGTTAAATATGATCACTGGGCACTGGGCATCCCCTGCAGTTTGCTTTTGGGAGTCTATTCCAAAATGTTCCTTGGTGCTCTGGATGGAATTTCCTCATACCCTGGCTGGGAAGGAGGCAGCAAATGGCACCTTTAATGTGCAGCTTCTGCTTTGCTTCAGAGCAGGGCAGTGACTGGGAAGGAAAACCTTCTGCTCCTGTCTGTTTCCACGTGGTGGGCATGGAGTCCTGAAGTGAGACTGTGCTGGGAGGGACACAGCCCTGCCTGTGCTTGTCCCTCTGTTCCCAGACACAAGGTACATCCTAAACAGCAAACAAGAACATGGTCAGGATGAGGGTCTTTGTTCCCAGCATTGCTCCACAGAGCATTTCCCAGTTTCTCTTCCAAATGCCCTCATTCAGGACTTTTTGGCATCAGCCTGGTTGTGGAATAGGCTGAATCAGGGAAATCCAGCAAGTGTGAACTGGAGAGTGCAGAAACTGATAAATGAGATAGTGCAGATTTATCAATAATTGATAAGTCACTCCATTAATGTAGAGACCCAGAGAAGGTGGCACTGTTCCCTGTGTCTCTAAGTCATCATGCTGTCACTGTCACCTGTCACTTCAGAGGGATCTGGCAGCAGCAGCCTGATGACAACGAGTGCTGCAGTGCTGATTTTCCTGATGGCTACCACCTGAATGCAAGGAAGCAACTTCCCAGGGCACTGAGCTCACAGGTTTTAGCATTGATTCATTTATTTCCCTGCTGTGGGTGAGGTGGGTGGCAGGTGTTGGATTCTCCCATATGGAATGCAGCTGGCTGTCTTCAGGCCTCCCCTGGAAACTGGAAGGTTTAAGTTGGAAGATGTACGGCTCAGTTTGAGGCTCATCCCAGGAGCTTAAGCTTGACTTAAACCAGAACTGCTACTGAAATAAGGTTTCTTTTTGTTGACTTTTCCAGCTCCTGTGCCTGGGCTGCTGCAGCCTTCATGTGGCTGTGAGAGGGATCTTCCCTCCCTCCTTGCCACACCCAATCCCTGCTGATCCTGGCACAGGATCACAGCTCCCAAACTCTGCAGCCAGGCCTATCTGTACTTCTTGTTTTATCCCCCACATCTTGCAGTTGTTCAGTGTGTGAGACTGAGGTGGAACTGCAAGCCCTGGTGGCTGGGTAGGATAAACAGGGCAGTCCTGAACAGCAGGTGCCATCTGTGCTGCTGCAGACATGTGAAATCCTGGTTTTGTTGTGCTGCTGGCAGGATGTTTTTCATGCAGGTTTTGTGCTGGGCTCCTCGTGCACCTCTGCATGCTGCCTTGCAGATAAGGCTACTGGGATTCTTTCTTCTTGATCTCTTCTTTCAGGATTTTGACATTTGTAGATTCTGCCAGTGTTTCCAACTGCACAACCACCAAGCTCTCCCCAGATGGCTGAAGGAAAGGCCAAGGAGCCTGTTTATTTTCTCTTCCTCACTTTGGCAAGAATGCTGCAGTTCAGCTGCTTTCCCTGGGAACTGGATGTCACTGGAGTTGGCTGGTCCTGACTGACACATTTTGGCCCCAAACCAGTAGTCATGGAATCACAGACTGGTTTGGACTGGGGCCTTGAAGGGCATCAGTTCCCACTGCTGTGGGCAGAACACCTCCACTAGAGCTCATGGGTGGAGCCAGTATCCAAACGCCCTCAGAAAATGAGGAGGTTTTTGTCAGGGATGTGGCTTCACTTTGCACTGGATGCTCTCCTTGTCCCCGGGAGCTGTCACAGCTGCCAGGGCCCCCTCACTGGCTCATGTTTCCCTGCCTGTCCCCTTCAGAGAGGTTGAGTGTGCAGGATTATGTGGCAATTTTTTGTGGGGACAAGAAAAGCAGACTGGGAGATGGGAACAGCTGGAGCTGTGCCAGGGGAGGGTCAGGCTGGATTTTAGGGAAAGGTTCTTCCACCAGAGGGTGCTGGGCACTGCCCAGGCTCCCCAGGGAATGGGCACGGCCCCGAGGCTGCCAGAGCTGCAGGAGCTGCCAGGGATGCCCAGGGTGGGATTGTTGGGGTGTCTGTGCAGGGCCAGGGGCTGGGCTGGGTGATCCTCATGGGTCCTTCCAGCTCAGGATATTCCATGATTGTCCCAGATGGATTGTTTGGTGTCCCCCTGGCAGCACTGAGCTTGTTCCATCAAAAGCATTGAGGGGGACACCCCACACCTGGACTACTGCAACATCCCCTGTCACAATCCTGTCCTCCAAGGGAGTCTGCCACTCTCCATCCCTGCTCCCAGCTGCTCTCACTCAGGCTGTCTCTCTAGCTTAATTGCCTAAGTGGAAATGTGCAAGTGACCAAATCTTTTAATCAATTAGAGGAAGTGTGGGTTCGGAGCTCTGTGACACCTCCCTGCAGCACAGGCACCAGGCAGAACCTGATTTGATGAGGGTTTTTGGCTCAGTGTCCAAAGCCCAATCAATTATTGTGGAGAGATGGAACAGCTAAATAAGATTTAAATTAATAGGGTTTATTACTTTTGCATCTGAGGAGAAGGCAGACCAGACAGAGTGAAATATCCTATGAAGAAATTGGCTCATATTTCTTCTGCTGTTACTTTAATGCTTATACCTATGCTTGAAGGTTTCAGGTTTTGCTTGTAGATAGCCACTGAAGTTGTGTTCAGACACTAAATCAGTGGGTGGCCAAAAGCCAGGCATCATAGTAACCCCTGCAAAATACAGAGATTAAAAATTAATAATCTCTCATAGGAGAAGTAATTAAGGTCTTTTAAAAAATTAAGAAGAAACTGAAAACAGATAAAAGCAAAAGCTTCTCCTCAGTAACTAACCTGATTGCAGAGGGTAAATTCCTCAGGGAAGTGGGGAGTATTGATATCAAACACTGGAGGTTTGGAACACCTGGAAGCTGAACCTGAAAGCTCAGAGAGTCTCTGTGCATGTCCAGTCTTGCTTCTGCTCAGCTGCTGCTCTTTTCTCCCAGGTTTTCAGTTTGGTTATGGTTTTGTTTCCAGCAGGGATCTGTTGTGACCAAGCTTTATCCCTCACATTGGATTTTTCACTGGTTTGTTGAGTTTTGGGCCTGCTTGTCCGCCAGGAGCTCTCAAAACAACCAAATAAATGGAGTGAGGGACAGCACATCTGACAATGTGTCCGGTTCATGTCCCTGGTAAAAAAAGTCTTGGTGCCTTCATGTGCTACTCTGCCAGCTCTGTCATCTGAGGCATTTCTAGGAGAAAATGTTCATGTGTGGGTTGAAATCTCTGATTTTCATTTTATAGCACTTTGTGTTCTCCTGGACCTGGAGTTCTTGAAGGTCCTGGGACTTGTTACAATCAGCTCCCAAATTTATGGCCTCAGTAGTGAATGTAAACAGAGTATGGGCTGTGAGATGTCCATGCTGGGCCTTGGGTGTCCCTGAAGGGGATGGTGCCAGGTCCAGCAGTCACTGATGTGGAGCAGTGACTGAGGGCTTTGAAAGTGAATTTGCACTTTTGACATCCAAGTGAGTTTTGGGAAGCTGTGCTGAGCAGGGTTCAGGGATGGGATGGGATGGGATGGGATGGGAGGGGTGGACACAAACACAGGACACTGCCTTTCAGGAGTTTCTGCTCTTTTAAAAGTGAGCATCTCAGAGTTGGGATAAACTTTTCAGCATGGGGCATCTTCCATCTTTAAGGTTTCAATTGGAAGAGAATCACAGAATTCTCTTGGTTGGAAAAGCCCTCAAAGATCCTTGAATCCAATTGTTCCCCCAGCACTGCCAAGGCCACCAGACCCTGTCCTGAAGTGCCACATCCACAGGGCTTTTAAACCTCTCCACCACTGCCCTCTGACAACCCTCTCCATTAAGAAATTTCCCTTAATATCCAGTCTAAGCCAGCCCTGGCACCCTCTGATCCTGTCAGCCAATTCATGCAGCCTGCTCCAGGGTGACTTTACCCATCCTAGGGAAAACATTTCATTCAGATTCCATATCTCAGTCCTGGTCTCTGCCCAGCCCAGCCTGGGCTCCTCCTGTTGCTCTCAGGAGGTGCAGAAGAAAAAGTACAGCCAGGTTTCATTTTGTACCAGCAGGAGCATGAAACATGGTTGGCTTGTGCATTGGCCAAGCTTTTTTTTTGTGGTCTCCCTCTTTCTCCTCCCGTCATTCCAGGGAAAATCCTTGGGATCTCTTTTGTGTGTCCTTTCCTGATCATGGCTGATGTTTTGTCTTCCCCTTTCTGCTGATGCCCCTGATGTTTTTGTGCTCCTCCTTTTGTTTGCAGCTGGAGGCTCACAAGGCTGCAGAAGAGCAGATTGATTTTGTTGCTCTTTGTTTGCTTTTTATTGCTGCAGTTTGCACTTCTGCCTTAATAGGGCTTCCAAAACTGCCAGTTCTCCTGAAGTTCTTTTCCCTTAAGCTCTTCTCCTCTGGGATCTCCCTGTTGGCTCTCAGGGTTCACTGAGACTGCTTCTTGAATTCTTCTCATTTTTATTCTGCTCCTGCCTTCCCTGGCAATGGTGTGCTCTGTCCTCTCATGTTGCTGCCACCAGCACTTCCTCACCTTCCTGTTCCCCACCAGCTATCACCCCGGGTCAGTCAATGCCTGCAGTAAATTGTATTTTATACCTGGGCTGCATCTGCCCTCAGAGCTCTTAATAGGCATTTGCAGAATTTATAAAGCAAAAGCTGATTTATTAAAATAGCCCCCAAGGGATTGAGGAGGCAGATCCCAGCCCCAGCATAGCTGCACCTTCCCAGGGCTCCCAGGACCTGCCAGGGACATTGGGAATGCTGTCCCATGCTCCTGGTGGATCAGAGGTGTGCTGGGGCTGCAGGGGTAGCTGGAATGGAGCAGGCTGGGTGGCTGGGGAGATTCCAGGGGAGCCAGCAGGAGCTTCCCATCGTGTTCCCTGCACTCTGTGGTGCTGTGGCACTGAGGTGTCTCTGAAGGAGCAAACCAAACCTGTTTCACACTTGGAATCTCTGCTAAAATCAAGGTTTTCTGCTGTGTGTGGGTTTGGGTGAGATTCCATTTTACTTGTGTTATTTTGGGAAGGAAGGAGGGAATCCCCAACACAAATTCCTGCTCAGTACTGGTGCAGCCATGAGGTGGATGATGGCAGGTCACAGTCTGGGGGCAGTGGGAAGGTGACTCTGAAATGCTGTCTGTGCTGGGGAGTGGGGAACAATCTCCTGAGCCCAAGGCATTACTGCTTTATCCTCCTCTTGGCAGAGAACATCCTTTTTGCCAAATAAGCAGCTCTGTAGACTTGACCTGGTGTGTTTATTAAACAGTGGGATGTGTTTGAAATGCAGGGCCTGTTGGACACTAATAGCTGTCCAGGGTGCACCCAGAGTCTATTGACTTCCTGCCAGCTGGCCCTATTAAATATACAAGGTACAAGTTCTGCAGTCAAACATGCAACAGTTTTATAAATGCCTTTTATAGCTGACATTCAGAAAACCTCCCATGTTGCCAGATGGGGAAATAAAGGGGAAATTCAAAAAGATGTTTTGGCTTGAAGGATCCTTGAGGTGTTGAAGTCTGAGAGCAGTGTTTGAATCTTTGCTCTTGAAGTGGATGAAGAAATGTTTGGGCCAAAAGGCTGATTTTATTGAGCCTGGATTTGGAGTTTGTTTTTTAGCACTGTCAGAGGGTGCAGCTGCAGATGTTTCTCACTTGGAGAATCGCAGACAGGTTTGGGTTGGAAGGAGCCTCAAAGCCCATTCAGTGCCATCCCTGCCATGGCAGGGACCCCTCCCACTGTCCCAGGCTGCTCCAAGCCCCAGTGTCCAGCCTGGCCTTGGGCACTGCCAGGGATCCAGGGGCAGCCACAGCTGCTCTGGGCACCCTGTGCCAGGGCCTGCCCACCCTCACAGGGAGGAATTTCTTCCTGCTATCCAAGCCAAACCTACTCTCTTTTGGTTTGAATCCTTCCTTCTTGTCCAGAGGTCATTGGGAGCCATTAGTGACTGACTGGACCAGCCCCTCATCCTGGGATCCCTGTCCCATCTTCCTCAGTGAAATGCTGGGAGTCCTGTCCTAATCCCCTGGAGCTGGAAGGCTGAATGCAGCTGTAACCTCTCAAGTGTCCCCAGGGGTCACTTCCAGGGATGGTGGAGAGGGGTGCAGGAAGCAGAAGTCACCTGGGAGTGTCAGGAGTGTATTTTGCTTGGCTTTGTTTTCCTGTCCAGAGCACAATGAGCTGCTCTTAATGAACTCTGTGGGCTGCATGGGGAGTGGCAGGGAAAAGCTGAAGGGATTTTAGTAACATGTTTTGGGATGAAGCAGGAAAAGATGGAGAGAGAACAAGGAGGTGAAAACACAGAATTTCATTGACTTCCTTAAGATGGTATTTAAGGGTTGGATGAGCCTCTCATGCTAATAAAGTAAGAAATGGGGAGGAACTCCATGGGTCATCCAGGTGCCTGGATGGATTTACCTGGGTTGGCTTTTGCTGTTTTCTAAGCAACAAAATATGGGGACAGTGATCCTTTCCAGGCAAGGTTGGCTTCCCACCCCAGTGTGACCCAGCTGTTCCTCAGATGGAAGATCTGAGATGTTTCCCCTGCAATCTGCTTGGCTCAGGGGGATTAAAATCTGGGAGATGACCCAGATCTCCTCAGGAATGCATCCCTGGTACAGTGCAGGCTGCCTGCTGTCCTCATCTGTCCTGGTACCAGAGCACCCCAAAAGCATTGGGGTGGAAACAAATCCTGTGCTCAGGGGGGTGCTTGATACCTTTGAAATGGAACTGAAAATGGCCTGGGACCTCCATTCTGCAGAGCTTTGTGCAGCTGTGGGCAGAAGAGGAGGCAGAACCAGTTTCCCTTTCTTTACAGAGGTTTTGCAGACATGATTTTAGCTTAGAAACCTTTCACCTGTGCTTGAAAATAAGTGTATAAAGTTTGATATTATCCTCAAGGCCCATTTTTCCTTCTGGGAGACCAGAGCCTGGAAGGAGGAGGGGTGAGAGTGGTGTTCAGAGGTGACCCAAGGGTCGGGGCAGCAGCAGGAGGTTGCTGAGGATCTTTTGTTGCTTTGAATGTTGTTGATGCCAAAGGCCTCAGGTGGCAGGTGAGTTCTCCAGGTGGGTTCCAGGTGACAGTGAGTGACTGTCCCCTCTTCCCTCAGACACCACACGAACCCCGTGGGCACCGAGTGGCGCTGGAAGATGGACCAGCCCGAGGTGATCCTGCAGGAGGCCATTGAGAAGCACCAGAACATGATCAGGCAGTTCAAAGGTAACTTCTCCTCTGTCCCCAGCCCTGATGCTGTTAGAGGATAACCAGCAGTGTCATCTTCAGGACAGGTGAGAATGTTCTGGTCTGTTGGGAAGGAGGCCTGATGTTCAGGGTATCAGGAAGATGGGGGAGGAGAAATTGCTGTGGCACATTTAATGTTTGCTGAAATGAGTCTCAGCCACTGAGTATGAGCAGTATGAGCTGCTGCCTGGAGGGAGTAGAGTGGAGTTGCCTCTGGTGCATCCTGGTGGTTTTCAAATCCTTTCCCTTGGTGTGGACAGAGCCTTCCACAGTGGTTAAAGCCAGCCTGGATAATGAGGGATCCTGGCTCCTCTGGAAGAGTGAGGGCAGATAGGAAACAAAAGCAATCAGCATCTTATCTGATGGGAAATGCACTGCCAGCTTTAATACCCAGCTTTGTGTTAGCCCTGGAACTTCTGGGTTGTTTTTGTCTCATGAATAATGAAACAGAAGCAAGCAGGGGATTTGGATTTCCAGGAATTATGCAGTACCTGTGGTTGTGACTGAAGCTGCAGTTCCACAGCACCTCTGAAAAGCACTGCACCTTACTTCCCATGGAAATTCCCTGGGAAATTGATATTCTGTGTCTATAACTATAGAGAAGGATGGGAGTTTTATTTCCCAAATGTGATGATCTGGTTTCTCTGCCAAGGTCAGCTGTGTGCTGGCAGGGCTGGCCAGCTTGGCAGGACAGCTCCAGGGTTCTGTTCTTCCCAAGTGCCTGTGAGCAGCACAGATGGAGTGGAGCAGCTGTAAAACGTGCAAGATGAGCCCTGGCCTTGGCTATCAGTTTGGGAATCCAATTGTTTAGGTTGGCTGTGCTCAAAGAGAATCCAATGGATCCAGGATGTGACAGACACAAAACCCTGCAGAACAGAGCTGCTCTGTCTCAATCTCTGCCGTTGGATAATAGGTGGAAAAATAGCTCAGGTTAGAGGCTCCAGGGCTTCATTCTCCTCACGTGGCTGGTTTGGAGCAGGAGCTCCAGGGAAGCTTCACTCCTGAGTCTGGGCTTTCTTTGGCACAGTGTCAGACATCCCCTGCCCCAGGGGATGGTGGTACTGGAACACCAGCTTGGCAGGGGAATTTGGGGAGGGTGAGAGGTGCACTCAGGGCAGGGCTTAACTCAGGGGCACCTGGAGAAACAGCATGGTTGAGCCAGTGGATGCATGGAAGGGTCTGGAGCCCCAGGAGAGGCTGAGGGAGCTGGGAAGGGGCTCAGCCTGGAGAAAAGGAGGCTCAGGGGGGCCCTTGTGGCTCTGCACAACTCCCTGACAGGAGGGGACAGCCGGGGGGGTCGGGCTGTGCTCCAGGGAACAGGGATAGGAGGAGAGGGAACGGCCTCAGGCTGGGCCAGGGGAGGTCAGGGTGGATATTTTGAACATTTCTTCACTGAAAGGGAGGCCAGGCCCTGGCACAGGCTGTGCAGGGCAGGGGTGGAGGCCCCATCCCTGGAAATGTTCAAAATTCGTGTGGATGTGGCACTTGGGGACAAGGTTTATTGGTGGCCTTGGCAGTGCTGGGGGAATGTTTGGACTTGATGATCCTGGAGGTTTTTCCCAGCCTCAGCTATTCTGTGGTTCTGAGCACTGGAAGGTTCTGTAGGAGATCCACAACCTCAGATCTGTTGTCCCTGTCCCCAGAAGAAGGGACAACAGACTTGGTTTCTGTTTGGGAGGGTCACGTTACTCATCCAAATGAGCTCGTTCAGCCAGGCTGGGGCCTGGAGAGGTGAGGACCCTCAAGCCCTGGAGGCTTTCAAGTCTCTGGAGAAAAGCCATTATCATCCTGGATTAAGGAATAACCTTTTCCTTCTCTGACCCTGCTTTCTTCCCAGAATGTGTTGAGGAGAGGGAATGATTATGGATAGACTTTTCAGCATCTGAAATGTCAGGGGGCCTGTCAGGACATCCCAGTTCTCTCTTTCTGGAGCCTATTTTCTGTTAAACAAATTCATAAATATTACTTACAACGTGCCTGTGCATCTGAGCACAGTTACCCTTGCCCTGGAACGGTGAAAGGAGAAAAAAGAGAAGCTTTGGACTAGAACTGTGCTGTAAAGTGTGGAAAGAAAAGCTGGTTTATTTTTCTAGTGCTAGATGACAACATTCCTGTGCTGGCTGCTGTGAGTCAAAGGTTTATTAAGGAGAAGAAAAACTGGCAAGAAAAGCCCAGGAGCTCCTGTTCCATTTAGTGAATTTTACATCGTTCTTCCCTCAGGTGTGTGAGGAAATGTTGTTAGGGTGGAAGCAGAGAAATCCAAATTGAGTGGGAGCAGTGTGAGTGAACCAAGCCAGGGACAGGCAAAGATTCAGCTCTGGCAGCACCAGAGTCCCTGGTGTGCAGTGCCAGGGCTGGAGCTGCCTCGGTCAGGAACAGGAGTGGCTCCTCCAGCCAGCCCAGCAGCTCTGCACAGAGAGCAGGAGCATTTATTTTCATTGATTTCTGAGAAAAGGGGCAGCAAAACCACAGGAACCACCTGCTGGAGCAGTGAGGTGGCCCAGGTTGCTGTGGGGAATGGAGGACAGGTTGTCGCTGGGCTCTGTCCCCTGATCTGGCATTGCTGGGGCACTTCCAGTCCTGGGCACCTCCAAGAAGAACATTGAGGGCCTGGAGCATGTCCAGGGAAGGGAACAGAGCTGGGAAGGGTCTGGAGCCCCAGGAGAGGCTGAGGGAGCTGGGAAGGGGCTCAGCCTGGAGAAAAGGAGGCTCAGAGGGGCCCTTGTGGCTCTGCACAACTCCCTGACAGGAGGGGACAGCCGGGGGGGTCGGGCTGTGCTCCAGGGAACAGGGACAGGAGGAGAGGGAACGGCCTCAGGCTGGGCCAGGGTCGATATTGGGGAAATTCCTTCCAGGAAAAGGCTGTCCAGCCCTGACACAGCTGCCCAGGGAGGTGGTGGAGTCCCCACCCCTGGAGAGATTTACAAACTGTGTGGAACTTGGGGGCATGGGTTAATGGTGACCTTGCAGTGCTGGGGGACTGGTTGGATTCCATCTCCATTTCCCAACATTCATGTGTCTGATCCTGCAGCACTGGCTGGGCACCCACAGGGACTCCAGAGGTGTCCCAGCAGGGCTGAGGTGTTGGACACTGGTCCTTGACATAGGGCCTGTTTGGGCTTCTAGGGAATCAAAATATGGGAAGTGTCTTAGCTAGGGAGTCCTCAGGGCTGGAGTGCCTGGGGGTGCTGCTCAGGTACCTCCCTGAGCCATTTGAATAAATTGGTGCTGCTCTTTCCAGTCCCAGTCCCACAGCTTTGCAGGCAGATACATCCACACACCCATTCCATGGGCCAGAGAAACTGCTGAACTCATCTGGTGCTTTATTCATTCAAGCCATTGCAGTAAAAATGAAATTTCCTTTGAAGGAACAGAATGCTTGTGTCCTTTAGGAGTCCCTACAGGATAGCCCTCTCTAGTCTGGGGGCCTGTGGGTGATGATAAATCATCTTCTGCTTTAGTGTTGCAACAGTTTGTACTGGGTTTGGAGAACACAGCCATTAAAGCCCCATAATTCTCTCCTGCAGTAAATGATGAGAGACACCTAACTGATAGGGAGTGAGGCTGGGAAGTTTATTTGATGGATACATTTTTCTGGGGAGTGACTTGTAAATCTCTGTGCCCTTGTGAAGGGCACACACAGGATGGAAACATAACTCAGGAATGGGCGAGTGGGAATCTGATAATATAGGGAAAAAACAAAGAGAAATGCATGACCTATCCTAGGAAATCCTCAGAGTACCCATGGATCAGCATGGATAGAGCAGATCCCTCATCCCCCTGCTCCCCAGAACTCTAGTGGTGCTGCTCAGGTCTTTACAAGGGGTACCAGAGTCAGCCCCAGCCTGCCCTGGGTGCTGTGCCAGGTGATGCTGTCCTTTCCCAAGTTAGTGGAGCAGCTGGAATCAGCTTTTCTAGGGAGATGTGCTCTGCTGGGAGCTGATGGCAGGAGCAGAGCCATGGGGATTCAGCAGAGTCCCTGCCCTCCTGGAATACACCAGTCCTGGGCAGTTTATCCCTGCCTGGCTGGTGATTTGTGTGCTTCAATGATTGAGTACATACTCACTCCCTCTTCTGGGTGGATGTGCCAGGTTTGGTGTAAACTGTTTTGGGAAAGTTCCACTCAAACTTTAGGGCATGTTGGGATTTTGTTCTTCTGCTTATAAAGCTGGCAGAGTAATTATGAGAGTCCAGATGCAAAATGCTGAGAGAGAGAAATTAATGAATTCCAAAACTGACTTGCAGTAGTTTTAGGAATATGAAACTTAGTCCTTTAATCTCAGTGTGTGCTGGAGATGCTGCTTTCTTCTCCAATAAAGCTCTCATTTAGTGCTGTCAGCTTTCTATGGAATAACCATTAGTCCTGTCACTTCCTCAGGACTGAGCCTGGCTGCTTGAAAATGCTTTGAGCCCTGCTCTGATTCCAAACCAGCTTTGCTACGTGAGGCTGGAGCAATATCCACAAACACCTCTTTTATCTGGGCTTTGCAGCACAGCTGTAATTTTCTGTACTGCAGCGTCAAGACAACGAGAGGGGAGCTGAGGACCTGGATTCACACTCCAGGCTTTGTTTTTTATCTTTAAAACAGCCCCCAGTCTAAAGCTTCACATAGGATTTGAGTACATCAAGGCATGTCAGGGAAATGCGAAGTGACACATTTGGAACAAAGGTTTGTTTGGAGGCAGCTGATTTCATCCGGGGTCCTGAGCACTTGGTCAGGTGTGGGTGGGCTGGAGGAGCATCCAGCTCCCCCTCCCGTGGGCATCAGGAGTGGCACTCAGGTGGTGTTTTCACAAGGATGCTGCATTTGAGCTCCTTATGTTTTCCTCTTCCTTCTAAAGAGTCTCTGGCTGTTCAGGACCGTGCCATGTGGTGGGTTTTCTTTTGATCACATCCTCTGTGGAGCTGCACGTTCTGTGTTTCCAGTCTGGGTTCAGTCCCTTGCTGTGTCTGGGGAGCTGTGCTCAGCTCCTCTGGGAGCTGCTCTTCCTGGAGGCCCATGGGACCAGCAGCAGCACAGCCATGACCTGGGCTGCTCTCTTAACACACCTGCTGGAAGTGGCATTGAGTTGCCCTGTGTGTTTGTTTGTGTCTCAGCAGTGGAGAGCTTGGCTCAAATGTTTAATTTTGGCTCGGGTGTTACCAGCAAATTGTTCTCAGCAGTGCCCAGGGCACAGCCAGCCCCAGGCTCTGGGTGCTGCAGAGCTGTTCCCTGTGGCCTGGTGTCCTGTCTGCTTTGGGAGGGCTCCAGCTGCTCTTCTCAGCCCTCCTGGTGTTTTGGATACAGATGTTTGAGAGAGGGATTTGCTACAGAACCACAAAAGGGTTTGGGTTAGAAGGGACCTTAAAAATTGTCTTGTTCCAACCCCTGCCACAGGTAGGGCCACCTTCCCTCAGACCAGGTTGCTCAGGGCCCCATCCACTGTTGATTGAAGGCTGTTGTCCCCTTTCCAGGTGTGTCAGGAGTGAAGGCAGCTCGCCTGGAGGAGGCCCTGGCAGTGAAGCACTGTGCCCTGTCCCTGGTGGGGGAGCCCATCATGTACCCACACATCAACCACTTCATCAGGCTCCTGCACCAGCACGGCATCTCCACCTTCCTGGTCACCAATGCTCAGTTCCCCGAGGAGATCAGGTAAGAGCTGCAGGAACTTCCTCCTGAACCACTGCTGTGCTGATCTGTGTCCTAATCCCATTCAGTGGCCCCTCAGAGTCAGCTCCACATGAGCACTCGCAGTGAAAAATCCCCTTCAGCATGTGATTTTAACCTCAATCTCCCCATCTCCTTCTCATCCTTTTCCCCCCCACAGTCTGAATTTCTTTTCTGTACCTCCTTAACAAACTGTGATTGCTTGTGGAAGTGGGGAGGATGGAATGTGGCACCTGTGAAGGTGTGGCAAGAGGGGAGCAGTTGGTGAGCTGTGGTTTGTATCTGGGGCAGATACTCGTTCTGTCCTTCTGCCAGCAGAGCAGGACACTGAGCTCAGAGATTGCCTTTTGGGGCTGATCTTTGTTCTGACCCCAAAGGAGCAGCTGTAAAGGCTCAACCCAAACCTCTATCCAGCCCAGCATCCCCAGCAGGATAAGGAAGGGTGACAAGCACATGTTCATCAGCAAAGTGGGATCCGCTTAACTTCCCTCAGAGAGATTTGAGAGAAATCTACCAAACACTTTAGTGAACTCTTTCACAGTCTTTACAAAGGTAAAGGTGCTTTTTCTGATGCTTTGGAGCATCCACACTACTGTTACCAAAGTGTAGAAAGGAAGTTCAGCATGTGAGCAGATGCAGCTCCAGAGAGGCTGGGGGCTCCTCAGAATCCCAGCAGTTCAGAACAGCAGCAGATCCAGCCCTGGAGCTGTGGGCAGGGTGGCCTTGGTTTGTCACTCAGCTCATTCCAGCTCCTCTGGGTCAGTGCTCCTGGGGCAGTTTCCTTTGCACTCCTCGTGGTCTGGATCTGGTGCTGAGGGGGGTGACAGGCAGTTTGGGAGTGAGTAATTATACACTACAAGGGCATTCCAAATGATTGAATAATTGTGTAATCAAGTTACTTTAAGTCATGTATTATGTGCCTGGTAGATAGAAATTGCTCTTTCCTAAATATAGCAGTTTGAAAAGACAGCACACTATTTTGAAGCTGCACTTTTTGGATCTGCTGAATCTTTTTTAAAAGAAAGAGAGAAAATGCTGGTCTTGCTGTCTTAAAAATTGCAACTGATCGTGGCTCATCAAAGCAGATGATTTGCTTAATATGGGAACTGAAGTAGGCACCCAGCTCACTTCTGTGCTGTCAGCAGAGGAGCTGCAGTCAGAAAGTTCATCCTGCAATAGGCAGGGTGACCTCTGGTGCAAGAGAGCTGACAGGGACTTGGGACAAGGGATGGAGGGACAGGACACAGGGAATGGCTCTCACTTCCAGAGGGCAGGGATGGGTGGGATATTGGGCAGGAATTGTTCCTGTGAGAGTGGGCAGGCCCTGGCACAGGGTGCCCAGAGCAGCTGTGGCTGCCCCTGGATCCCTGGCCAGGCTGAACTTTGGGGCTTGGAGCGGCCTGGGACAGTGGGAGGTATCCCTGCCCAGGGCAGGATGAGCTTTAAGGTCCCTCCCAACCCCTTCTGGGAGAGGGCAGTGTGGCCTGGGGTGTTGCTGGATTCAGGACAGGAGCTCCAGCAGGTGCCCCCTGTGCCAACCTCTCTTCCTCCTCCTCCTGCTCTCTTCAGGCTGCAGCTTCACCTGCCTCAGGCTCACAGTAAAGTGAGGGAGGTTTTACACCAGGTGAGCTCCTATTGAACCCATTCTTGGCTCTGAACAGCCCTTGTGTGTGGGTTTGCCTTTATGATCCGTAATAATACCAGTAATGAGCAGGTGATTCATGCTCACCAACAAATGCTCATTTTTGA